TTGTCACCAATAATGGAGTCTCGTGAAATTTGGGAGGAAGAAGGAAGCAGTGATGGAGTCTTGTAAAACTAGTGCTCAGAGAAGAAGGGAGTGTAGTGCCTACCTTGACATTACCAACAATCACCACATCAATTATACCATACAGCAATAACTAGCTAGGAGCCATTAATCCCTCATAAGCTTACCGTAATCATAGAATAGTTAAATCAATTAAATATTTAAAATACAAATTAAAAACCTTTGGGATCTCAAGAAAAACCTTTCAAATATATAATTTGAACTCAAATTTATTTATATATAAAATCTTGGAAAGCATGAAAGACAAAAACTAACAAAATATAGTAAAATAAGACTAAAAATATCATTTTGGCATATTTTGACACATATGCCATAGCATAGGGGTTCACATATCGTTTCATGAAAGCATAGTGCTGTCATGGTTTCAGTAAATTTGTGGGAATCAGGATTGGAAATGGATTACATGTTTGATTCTATTTCTATCTTTCCAATTTAGTCTACCAAACATAGCCTCATATTTGAACACTTATTATTTTTAACAAGAAATTGATATGAAATATATATATATATATATATATATAATAAATATTTATCAAGCATGGTTGTAAAAATTAATAAATATTTAAATTATAAAAACTTAATTATTCTATTTTTAAATTAGATAATTAAATAAAAGCACAAAGACTAAAAATGTGAATTTCATTTCTCTAGAACACACCTTCATGATAATTATACAGTTGACATTCACAATGTAAGAGGGAATTATACTGAAGTTCTATACAAAAAAATTAATTATTATAAAATTCAAGTAGTTAATACAGTTTAATTTAATTGTTAATAAATTTTATAATAATTAATTTTTTTATGTGAAATCTATTTGTAATTCTTTCAGCATGTAAATCAAATCAATTCTGGCAAAAAAAAAAAAACAAATCAATTCATCCTCAACTCTTCAGGTTTGCACCCGACATGCCTACATTTTATTCTATTCTATAAAGAAATTGAATAAATGACGTTAACTTCATTGGAGTTGTGACTAAATTATTTTAAAAATTAGTTGCAAAATGATGTCAAAATTACTCTAGTAATTTTTTTCGATTATTGCCAAGACCAGTTGTTGAAAGGAATTTTCAAGCAAACATTTCATTAATGATATAAAATAAGTTACTTATACGCGCACACGTATGAATATATAATGGGAGAACCTTTGCTTTGTAAATAGTAGTGTGGAATACTAGTCAAATAAAATATGAAATGCCGAACTTACAAAACAATACATGAAATGCGTGATTGAGACGTCAAAAGCAGTGATTAAAAAATTGAAGAGAGTCAAAATTCAGACCGATCAGTCTGATCATTGATTGGTCTGAATTTTGACTCAGTTAACATATAAAAATTATTTTGAAATTGAGCGGAATTAACTTATTTTAAACTGACAATCAAATCATGAATCAAAATTAATTTGAGAACTAGATTCAGTTTTTCAAAAGTCAAAATGTTTAAAAAATATTTTTTTATTTTTTTAAGAAATGATTATTTTTTAATCATTTAATATTATATTGTATTATGCACCTTATTAAGTCATGATAAACTTAAAATATTTAATTTTATTTTTAAATTAAATAGTAATTTTATATTTATTTCTTATATCTAAATTATTATAAATACATATATAATTTTTTTAATTTAATTATTATATCATTAATTTGATCATTAATTCAACTTAATTGAACTATATGAACTATAAGTTATTGAAATTTTCGGTTCAGTATCTAATTTGATTTTAAAAATATTGGTCAAAAGATAACCTGGAACACCAAAAAATATTATGTTACAAAAAAAAAATATCATAAAGATTAGATGCGCATGCAATTAAAAGAACGTTATCACCATGTTAAGTAGCGTCGTTGCGGCAATGATACAAAAGTTTTAGAGGAGAAAAATAAAAAATGATGTCATTACTTTGGGTAAACAGGCGAATAGAGTAATTAGTTAGTTGGCGGAATCAGAAAAAATAGGATCCGGTTTCGAAGAATGAGCACTATAGTGCTCAGCGCCAATTAATACAGCTGTTGCAGTGTTAGTGGCCTTTTGAATTTTAATTGAATATAATAAATTATAAAAATAATTAATTAAGTAATAGATTTTAATCATAATTAATATGTTATAATACACTCTGTTTAGATATTTATTTTTTAAAATTAATTTTAAAAGAATTGAATATATTTAGATAATTTATTTAAAATCAATTTTAATTATATAAATTATTATAAAAGACATTGTATTTTAAAATTAAATTATTGATAAATTTATATTTAATATTATTAAAGTTGTTATATTTTATTTAAGAAGTAAATATATTATTAATTATATAAATTTTGGGCTTTTTTTATAATTTTTTAAGTCTTTTTTTATAATTTTCTCTACCATTTTTTGACTGTGCAGAAGCTCGAATTGCCATCTTTTGAAAAAAAAAATTGATTTAAAAAAATTGATTAAATGAAAATCATGATTTTGGGAATTTTTTTGGTTAATCAAATTTTTTATTAAAAAATTGATTATTTTGCTTAACCAAACAGGCACTTAATTTTTTTTAACTACAAAATTATTATTATAATAATAAATAAATATTATAAAATTATTATTTTAATATTTAAAAAAATAAATAAATATTAATTTATTAAAATTTGACCTGGACAGTTTAAATAAAAATTTTATTTTGAATAGTTAATAACTGTAAAAAAATATTTTATAAAACATTTCTATTTATAATTCTAATTTTTATAGTATAGTTCTAAACTATTCAAAATAAAATTTATATATGAATTGTTCAGGTTAAATTTTAATGAGTTAAAATTTATTTATTTATTAAATATTAAAATAATAATTTTATCATATTTATTTATTATTATAATTTTTTGGTTTAAAAAAAATTAACACTACAACCATAGTGTTAATTGGTGCCGAGCATCATGCTAAAACTGAACCCAAAAAAATAAGGTAAAAGCAAAGGAAGCATGATCATTGAGGCCCTGTTTGATTGGGGGGAAGGGATGGGAGGGAAAATTTTTGTCATGACCCTTGTGAGTGTGCTAGGCGTGTCAAAGTAGTGTATACTTAAAGTTGTGAGTTAAATTAGACGATCAAGTGGGTTCCTTAAGATCCTTTACCACATTTTCTTTAAATAGTCAAGTGTATGCGTGAAAAATAAAGAGACGCTGTGTGACAAGTAATGCTCAGTTGTATTGCTAATGAATCAATAAAATGTGGTATTTGTGGGGATAGAGAATCGGGAACATATGCAAGGTAGCCTAGGAAGTCAAGCTAGCATAGAAGAAGTGGTTCAGACTGGGCAAAGTTGGCTAATATAGGGTTAATATTGATGTTTTATACTGGGCAAGTCTTGTGTAAGTTTGGCAAAGTATCAAGAGTCCTTAAGTCATGTACTTGACTATTTATATAAAAATGATAATGGCTTGCTCCTTTTGATTTTGGGTTTGGCACCATCAAGAGCAATTAACTATCCGTGTCATTTTGTGACTGAGGGTGCAAAGTTATGAGAATGAACGCATCAAAATAATTGATAGTAAGGAAAGTGGGCAAGACTGTGTCGTTGATTATTTAAACACGACGTTCTAATTATTTTAAGGTCCTCTGAGCTAAGTCTCCTAATAAATTGAATTTGACCATTCTCCCCTCAAGCCAATTGAAATGATAAAAATATGCTTTACCAACTGAAATTTTAAAATTCATTGCCCCAGTTAAAAAAATAATCAATTTTAAATTTTAACTTTATCAATTATTCCTATTAAATACTACATATACTTCAATAAAAACTTATTTTCACTCCTTAATATGCTTTATAAATAGTGTTAAAGGGAGTACGTAGGATTCAACTATAACCAATAACCGATGAGTAATTGAATGAAAATGGAAGCAATGAAATTAGATTAAATAACAATTGGGTGAAGATCATGGAAGTTATCTTTTTTTTTTTTTGCGCCAAGGAGTTATCCTTAATTATATATAAATTATACATATATTGAATAGATGGCATATTAACTCAAGGGATGGCGAGGGTACTGTACCGTGTACAGCTGAAGGATTGCATTTCCAATTCGAAAATAATAGAGATTAATTCTTAAATGTTTGTAAATTACAAGGGTTAATTTTTACAAAAAACAGACCAGGTAAAAAAAAAAAACAAGAAAAACAAGAAACTCAACTGTACGGGATGGATTGAATAGAAAATCGAGATAAAGCATGTGGACTAAAAATTAATTTTCCCCAAAATAAAATATGGGGTGAGAAGTCAATAATGCAAAATAGTAATAATGTGCGGGATCCGGATCCTCTCAGCGTCTGAAATCCTCAGCATCTTTCAGGGGCCAAATTTGGTCCGTTCAACTGGTCAAAATTGGTTAATACACTCATAGCTCTTAAAAATATATGTAAATAATTTATTTTCAAACAGTAAAAAAATATATTTTGAAATATCATGTATGAATAGAAATAGGTTAGACTAAAGTTAGATTTTGAATAAACTTAGTCTATTTATATAAATAGATTTAATTATAAATTTAAGTATAATCATTTGTTAAATAGATAGACTAAAATTTAAACAAGACAAATTATATGTTTATATAAGTAAGGTTAGGCCTATTTAAAAAAAATTAATTACATTAAAATAAGTAAATAGGCTCATATAGACATATAGTTTATCCTATTTAAATTTTGATGTGATTTGTTTAGCAAAAAATTTATATTTAAATTTATAACTAGACCTATTTTTATAAATAGGCTAACTCTGTCTATTTAAAATTTAATTTAAACCTAACCTATTTAAATTCATATATAATATTTTAAAATATATTTTTTAATTATTTAAAAATAAATTATTCACATGTATTTTTAATAGTTAAGTGCTATGTGAATTAATCACACTTTGGCCACTTGAAAGGGCCAGATTTGGCCGCTTGAACGGGCCAGATTTGGCCGCTGAGAGACTCTGAGAATTTTGGACGCTGACAGGATCCGGTTCCACAATGTGCCACTGTGGCAGCGAATCGGAGAGATACGGGTCTCCCGTTCCCGTCTAGCAGTAGTTCGCACTGGAACGCCATCCTCCTTCCGGCTTTGAATTTCTCTGGGAACAGCGTTGAACCCTTAAGCACTGTAGAATACATGTCGCCGAAACCTGAGTCTGCTTCAAAGTCAAACCCCTACTTCAAACCCGGCTCCACCGTCGAGGTAAGCTCTGACGATGAAGGATTTCGCGGATCTTGGTTCGTTGGCACCATTATACGCCGCTGCACTTCCAAGAAAAACCAGAACAAATTCTTGGTGGAGTACAAGACCATCGTGGCCGACGAAAAGGGCTCCAAACCCCTGAGAGAGATGCTGGAGCTTCACCAACTTCGACCCCCTGCCCCAAGGGAGACTGACCGTGAATTCAAGTTCGGCGAGGAGGTCGATGCATACCACAATGATGGCTGGTGGGAAGGCTCCATAACCGAAGAATTGGGAAACGGCAGGTTCGCGGTGTACTTCAGGGCCTCAAAGGAGCAGATTGATTTCCGGAAGGAGGACCTTAGGCTTCATCGCGAGTGGGTCAATGGGAATTGGGTCCCTCCGTTGGAAGAGCCGTCGGAGGAAAAGGTTCGCCTGTCTACGCTCCAATTGCCTTTCATATTTTCTTTCCTTCTTCTCTCCCACCTTTTGGCATTGTCGTGTTTTCTTGTTCTTGCATCGATGCCTTTTCATTTAATCTTCAATCGTTCGGCCTTTGGCAAATCGCGGCGCCTGTTTACAGTACTATTTGCATGTGTTTTTCCTAGTCATTCCTGATTCCTCAAATAACTTTTTCATGTGGGCTGGGTTTATTTGTGGTTCGAGGCGGATTAATTTATAAGAAACTTCTGATCTGAAATTTTGTCGTCATTGTTTTCTACTGTTCGCGCCGAGTGTTGCTAGTATGTTATACCAATCTATCTTTGGATTGTGAGTAGAGGAATACTTTTTTTGAAGACTAACTATTTGTGGCACAGGGATAGAACTAGGGCTTGAACATGCATTTTTGTTGATGACATTAGTATCTTTGACATTGAGATAGTTGTCTTTACAATGATTGAATGGTCTCCCCACTTATGCCTGGTTATTCAATTATAATAATATTATTAGCTCTTAATCAAATTGCAGAAAATTTTACCAAACGATGTGAAGGCTGGTGAAGAAACAATGACGGACATGTTTTGCAAGGGGACACTAGTTGAGGTTAGCAGTGACGAGGAAGGTTTTGAAGGAGCTTGGTTTGCTGCTACTGTTGTTAAACCAAAGGGAAAAGATAAGTTTCTTGTTGAGTACCTGAACCTACGGACTGATGATGATTCGGAGTTTTTGAAAGAGGAAATTGATATCTTACATATTCGGCCTTATCCACCAGAACATATTTGTGGTCAGTTTAATTTTCTTCAGGAAGTTGATGCTTTGTACAATGACGGATGGTGGGTTGGAGTGATTTCTAAAGTGCTCGGCAACTCAAGGTATGTAGTATACTTCAGGAACACTAATGAAGAATTAGAGTTTCCGCACTCCGAGTTAAGGCTACATCAGGACTGGATCAGTGGAAAATGGGTCATTGCTTCGCAGGTATGGCTATACTGCACGGTAGTTATTTTATCTTGACATTATCTTTCCACTGTTATCATTCAAAGACTTGTTTGGAACCTGAAAATTTGCCAAGGACCATGCAGAGTATCCAAAAGCCTAAAAAATGAATACCATCTTTAGTTTTGTGTGCGGATAAAATCCACCCAAAAAAAAAAAAAAAAAATCTAAGTTCCCCCATCTTGCTAAAACTTGAATATTTATTTTGCCCATTTAAACTTTTTTCTCTGGGTAAGGGCGTTCTGTGATGTCTAATTTAGTGTTCTAGTCCCTGCATATACACTATACAAAAAAGACTTTTTAAACCGGTTAAAAAAGCTTTCTAAACCAGTTCTGAAATCGGTTTAGATATGGCAGTTTTGAAAGAACCGGTTTAAATATGGGCAGTTTAGAAAGTCACTTGCTAAACCCATTGTAACTACAATCAGCTTAGAAAGTGTCATCTAAGTTGCAACTGGTTTAAAAAACTTTCTAAACCAGTTGCAAACTACAATTAGTTTAGAAAATGACCTTTTTTTTTTCTTTATTTAAAATAGGGGCATCACCTCCAATCCAAAAGATGCTCCTATTTTCTTACCAAGAAATTCTAAGCACCTTGTAGTCTCAAAAATAGACCACACACGTACCATGTAACATGAATTCAATCATGTAAATCACTTTTAAATGAAAAATTACAAGTTTCCTATTAACATACAGTCCATGTAAACTTCATAAAATGTGAAGGCAATGAACCCAATTTATTAAAACATGACTCCAAGGTAATTTACAAATAAAACAGCTAACCAAATGATTTACAAATCCAATTATACCATGCTAAAAAAAAAAAATCGTGATTATTATAAAACTGTTGTCAGAAGAACAAATAATATAATTGCAGCTAGTTGCTGTGAATTATAACAAAGTTCTCCAGAAAAGTCAGTAACCAAAAGGAGTTAAATACTATTCTACTTCTAGCTAAAATTTTCTATGCGTGGTGTGTATGAATTTATCTACACTGAATTTTCTTTTGCTGAATGTGTATGAGGTACTTGTTGGTGCTGTAGTAGAGCTCCACTTTTCATATATGGGGTAAATTGGTAGGATCCAAGATAGGTAGAGAGAAATAAAAAAGATAAATCTTTATTAAAATATGAAATCAAAATTAACTTCATAAATTAATGAAGATGAAGGAAAATCTTAAATAGAAGATGAGCAAGAATCTTAGACTCATACAACTAATAAAGCCAAAAAAGAATCTCCACTGATAAAAATAATGATTTAATTCCAGATGCCCTCTACGTGATATGTGCCTCAATATTTATATATGGAAAATAACTAATAATTCTTAAAAATACTCCCATGAATCCATGACTCAGATAATGGAGCATAACTACCTAAATGAATAAGTAAATAAATATTAACTTAATCTCCAAGTGCCATAACCCACTACTACTAAACTTAAGGGCCATTTCAACAAAACAGACAATAACCTAAATAATATATTTAATAGAAAATATCTAAAATAACTTAAAACTAATGTTTATTTCTAATATTTCTCTAACTTCCGAAATTATCCCTTATCCCACCATAATCAGTATTCTATCAATACTCCCCCCCTAAAAATTTGCTTTGTCCTCAAGGCGAAATATATGCAGTAGCTTTCTTGTATATCTGGGGAAGGTTTAGATGGGAGTAATGGGTAAATAGTATCATCTCCAATTTGGGTTCTAAAGGGTTGAACAATAGGCTGCATTGAAACTTCACGGATGAAGTTATAGTTAGACCCACTATCCATCAAGTTCAGGACTTGGCAATCAAAGAAGCTCCCTTGAAGCTTCATTGCAAGTATTATGTTGCTACCTGGAGCTGCATTAAGAGAAATTTTAGCACTTTCAAGTTCAAGTTCTTCGATTTCAGCATCTTCAAGAGGTGGAACAACCAGTGCTGTTAAAGGCGAAAGGCGCACTTAAGGTGCAAAGCTGGTAAAACGCCTTAGGCGCAAGGCGCTATAAAGGCGCCCGCCTGAGTGAAGCAAGGCGCTACTATAGATAAAATGCATAATACATAGATTACAGACAACAAACCATAGATAAAGTGATAAATATAAATCTACTTCAATCATAAACTTCTACAAAACTACAACAAAATAAAATACTAGGAAAAACCAAAAAAGAGAATGAAAAATTAAAGGTTTGTTTTTTGAATAATTGTTCTGTGTGTTGTAGTGCTAAAAGCCTAAAATCAAACAAATCAAATAAGAAAAATAGAAAATAATATGATGTTTGAAACTTAGAAGTTAGAACCTGATTGTTAGAGTGCAAGATGTGCAAGACGTGCAAGACGTGATTCTTGGAGATATTGCTTACTTGCTCTAAGCCTCGAGACACACTAATGCCAATACCAAATAACAGTAATAGGTTTTCTTTCTATATCTTAAAAACTATACGTTGGGAGGGATTTTAAAGTCTTAAACTTTCCTAAAAATTTTCCTTCAGATAGCAAAATTTTCTCAATCATATTTAAAATTTAAATCAAAGATAATTTCTTATAATTAATTAAAATCTTTTTTTATATATAATATTTTTCATTATCTTTTATTTAAAATTCAAATCTTCCCTAATTTATTATATGTTATACGTTTCTCTCACAAGATAGGATAGGATTTGTTAAATCTTTTATAATTGTCTCAATCATATTTAAAATTTAAATCAAAAATAATTTCTTATAATTAATTAAAATCTTTTTCTATATATAATATTTTTCATTATCTTTTATTTAAAATTCAAATCTTCCCTAATTTATTATATGTTATACGTTTCTCTCACAAGATAGGATAGGATTTGTTAAATCTTTTATAATTGTTTACTATATTTTTTTACTATAATTGAGGAAAAAATGGTAGAAAATCGGTTGAGATGGTTTGGGCATGTACAAAGAAGACCAAGGGAGGCACCAGTGAGAAGAGTGGAACATATAACTTTGAGTCCGATTAAGAGAGGTAGAGGAAGGCCTAAGAGAACACTCTTGAAGTTGTTGAACGCGATCTCTTAATTAATAATATTCCTAAAAGTTTGATAAATGATAGAGCACAATGGCGTCTTGCAATCCATGTAGCCGACCCCACCTAGTGGGATAAAGGCTTGTTGTTGTTGTTGTTGTTGTTGTTGTTTTGATTATTTGAATAATCGATTTAAAAAGTCTTTTATTTAAGCAATGTTAATTACAAAACTGCCACTACCCCTATTTTTGAACTACATTTGCAATAACCGATTTAGAAGTCCTGCATTAGAAGTGCTTTTTTCTACTAGTGATATGAGGTTTTTTTCAGCTTGTGGATATTTTACCAACTAAAGTTGTCAAAGTGGGCTAGGCAAGCCCACATTGACCATTAGCTTGTGTAACCCACCCATTTTAAATGGGTCAAAAACTTGAAGTCGGTTCATTCAATAGATTAAACATACTAATAAATGTTAGTTTAGTTGATAATTTAATTCATAACTAGTAAGAGTGTACGCATAAGTTTTGCATGAGTTAAGTCCCACCTTTTTTTTTTCAATGAAAATTGAAATTCGTAAAAAGTTAGCAAACAGGATAGTACAAGGAACTTAATACAAGACCAAAGAGGGTAGACTCAATCATCATACTCCTCCTAATGTAATATTAGGTGGGGGATGATCAAAGAAACAAAAAAAAACTCTCCATAAAATATACTTCAATAGCAAGGAAATGGGCATGACTAATGACGTCCTTAAAAACAAAATTAATAGAAACAGATCAATCTCTATAAGTGAAATTACAAGTGTTTTGAATGATATTCTTGTAAGGGTGTCCTCGTGATAGCCTCTCGTTTAAAGTTTGATTGCTTCCACACTATCCGAGTAGACTTGAACATTCTTGAACCCCTTAATCCAACAGAGGCTAAGGCCTTTTGAAATTGCTAGGACTTGAGCAATGGTGGATGGATAATTCCCAAGCTTAGAATTAAAGCCCATCACCCAATCCCCTTTGTCATTTGAGATGCAACCGCTACAAGTTGCTAATCCATTTAGACAAGATCTATCGACGTCTAGTCTATAGCTTCTTGCGAGGGTATGTGCCAATAATCTGTACAGCTAGATAGAGATCGACCTACTTTGAGTTTTCTTAGCCATTTAGAATCAGTCAAGGCTTTCAAAAGGCATTTGTTGGGGTCAGGTTGAATAACGTGGCTCTGTTCATCAAGAACATTTTTATAGCGTGTAACCTAAAGGTTGGGACATGTAAGTGAAAGCTATTGGCCATGGAAGATGCAAATTGGAGTAAGAACCTGTTGAGTTTATAGAGTTTCGTCTGATCCATTCTAAGCAATCAAAGCACATAAATTGTGTCCAGAGCTTAGATTTCACAAGTTGCTTCCACATCTCTTGAGCAATTCTACAGTCATGTACGATATGCATGGCAATTTCCTCTTCACCACATTCCTACCTTTGATGTGAGCATTTTGTTGGTGAATAATATCCATATGTCTGTAAATTGTTTTTTTTCTTTTTTCTTTTTCATTTTTTGAACCATGTGGTCTAATTAGTTCTTGAGACCTGATCCACTTAAAGAAGGAAGAGGAATACTAAAAATTAAAACAAATAAAAAAGAAGAAATGAATAGCATCTATTGCCATAAGAAGTATCCTTTAAAATCCAGCTCCCAACACCAAACACTGAAACAACTCTTTCAATATTTAACAATCAAACAAAATAACTACTCCCTTTGTTTCAAAATAATTAGAGTTTTGGTTTTATTTCAAAAGAATTGTTGCTTTGGTATTCCTATGCAAGTATTAATTTTTTTTAAAAAAATTTATCCCTCATTAGCTTATGATTTTATGAGGAAAGAGATAGGTAGGGGATGATTAGAATTAATATCAGTATATTTTAGCCAAATATAGTTATATTTTGTAGCAGTTTTGGCTATTTGTAGCCCTTTTAATCTGTATGCATAACCTTAAACATTAAATATCTCGAAACGGAGGAAGTACTTAACCAGCTCAAGTTCCATCGAACAACTAAAACAAAGTTAAGTAATAAAATTATTAAAATTTCTACTTCAAGAATACTTCTTCTAGTCCTATTTGTAGGACACTTTCTAGAAGTAATTTTTAGTATAAAATGTAGGATATATTGTAATAAGTGCACTACTTTTTTTAATTTTACCCACTCTTAATTAACATGAAAATATTTAATGTAATTGTTTCATTATTTAAAGTTAAGGGTAAAAATAAAATTATATATCATTTTTTATGATATAAAAAAAAGATTAGCTTTTCTTAAAATTCATGAAATGATTGAAAGTATCTTATAATAAAGATCGGAAGGAGTACTTGGATCTAGACTCTAGTGTTGAAGGGCTAGTTTTTATGGCTAGAGTTGAAATGTGATCCCAGTTCTTGAAAAATATTCAAATTAGTGAAAAAATGGGCTAGTCATGTGGATTAGTCCGTTTGACCTGTGGTTAATGGACTGGGTCGAGGTGATCTGGGAATTATATTGGTCCGTAAAATCGAAATCCAATCCACCAAGATAGCCGAGTTAAATGGACTAGTTACGGGGGTTCCATCTCTATTGATTGCTCTAGTTGTCAGTTTGGTTTTCATGGTTTTGTGGATCTTGTGTTTTCTGCTGTGCGGTAGGATGAGTCAGAAGGTTGATATTTTTGAAATTCACAAAATTCACATCATCTTTAGATTTTGAGGGAAAGATATTTTATGATATATTGGGATCATTGAAAATGGTTTTGGCAAACGAATGAAACCTAGTTGCTGCGTGGTTCATAAAAATTTGTTAGCATATGGAGACTGGCACATGAGTTCAAACTTCAAATATTTTGTTGTTTTCTGTTTTTCTTTTTCCCTTTTGTCAGAGGACGATGATCATATGCAACAATAGGAAAATGGTCAAAATTGATATGCATATTTTGAACTCACTTCTTGTTTAATTTTAGTTAAAGATATCGATCATGCAATGCTTTGGCTGAAACTTTTCAGGCATTGAAGTTGTAGGCACTGTAGAAAGGAGAGCTGTGGAAAGAAGCTAAGCGTTAAGGTTTGGTGATTAGACAAGTTCCCGCTAACTGCAGTGATGAGGATAAAGTTTCACTTGCACATATTTCTAGTGTAGAATCTCAAGACACAGAAAACTTGTTGCTTTGGTTCCGGCCTGTCATGTTCATAGGAATGACAATTAAAAATTGTGCAGAAAATGCCTTTGTGTAAATCATATATATTATAAGATTAAGAGTTATTTTTACTCCTCAATTTTACTTAAAAAAGTTATTAGGGATTCTAAATTTAATTATGAGTTAATTTTGTCTTTCAATTTTAAAGACTCCCACACTTATTACCATGTCTTTTCTTTTACAATTAGTTCACTGTTCATGAGCCCATGTAGCTTTGTCTCTATTATAATTTATTTGAGTTGAGGGTGTCAACGGGCTCTTTGAATAAAAATTAAAAGGCAAGTATGACCTTTAATCGAATAAAAGTATTAAAAAAGTGATACCCATTAATGAGCATAAAGTATTTTTAATATTGAGGTTATGAAGGAGATACTTTTTAACGTTGAAAGATAAAATTAATCTACAATTGAGTTTATGATTTTTAATAGTCCTTTGGGTAAAGTTAAAGGATAAAAATGACTTTTAATTTTATGTTATATTTGATAGCATTTGGATTTTTAGATTTGGATTTGAATTTAAATTTTTTTATACCAACTAAATAAAATATTTTAAATACATAAATTTTGTTTAAGGAAATGTAAAATGAAGAGAGTAAGGGACTGAGAGTGTTAAGTTTATTTTATTTGATTTTATTTTATTTAATATTAATTTGAATTTAATATAAAATTAATTTAATATAATTTAATAAATATCAATGTAAAATATTAAATTTTTATTATTTTTTTCTGTATTTTTTATAATTATTATGATTGTGTATTTATAAAAGATCAATTTTTTTTTACCAAAATTTGTATTTTATTGTTAGTAAATATTCAATATATTTATATATGATATAAAATTTGCAAAATAATAATTATCTTATTACTTCATCTTTTTATATATTTTGAATCATTATCTTCACTACTCCTGTATATTACGAGTGATAACATGTTTTTACCTGTTTAACTTTATTTATTTATTTAGTTTTTTAAGTTAACTTCTCTTTTCTCTTGTAATTTAATATAGTAAAAGATTAAATTGTCTTGATCAAATCAGTTATATGTACGCCTACACGTGCTCCTCTCTCTTACTTTATACAAACCATGTATATTTCCATTTATGTTTTAATATAGTTGGAGTTCTTTGCGATCAAAATAGAAAAGATGATAAAAGTTGCACCTCATTCTTGGGAATACTGTAAAAAATAATAGGAATAGAGGAGGTTTGGGTATCAAGGATTTTCGGACCCAAAATATAACCTTTTTAATGAAACTGTGTTGGGGTATTCTCGCCAATCCTAATGCTCTCTAGGTTAACGTTCAAGAGCCAGGTATCATTGTGGTGAAGGAGCAACACCAACAAGAAAAAGCAGCCTCTCATATTCAGAAGAGCATAGATTTGAGCATTGTCAGTTTCAATTAAAGTTAGTTCTCTCAAAAACATTGTATGCGTCGACATGAACTTAAGCAGCCATATTTTTTATACATAAACTATTTAAGACTCAACTTCCCATAAATTTTGATAATGGAGCCAAGTAACTCCTATATTCAATTAATCATATAAAAAAAAAAAAAGGTACGTTTTGTATCATAGGTGCATCATAGATTTAGAAGTAAAAATAAAGGGGAGGAATCGAGAAACTTACATATGTCGGGGGAACATGCATAAATGATGAATTTGAAGCCGGAACACGTTGCTGCATGCTGTCTTTCGTGGAAGCACAAAAGGATGGGTCAGATTTCTAGTTTATAACAATAAACAGCGGAAATATGGGACTCCTCCAATCCCCCCCCCCCTTCCCACCGCTCCAATGGTGCATGTCAGCAAAACCTGCATTTCCCAAACACGCTCCCTCCTTCTTCTCTCTCCTTTCGCTCCTTCCCTCTCCCCTCCTCTCTTCATTTCCTTATACTGCAACATTTTCATGCCTTTGCCTCTCCTATTCTTGCTTCCAGGCTTAGCCTCACTATGAGGTTTCATGATTTCATCCTTGCTTCAACTGAAAGATACACCCGCATTCCCATCCCGTGTTTGTCCGTATAATCATTTGAGCCGTCCTGCAAATCGCCTCTCTCTCGCTGTCTTTGTTGCTTCACCATTTTCTTCTCCGAAAACCTCTTGGAATTCGGCCAACGATAAGTTCTGTAGCTTCTTCCAGGCGAAAAGAATGGCTCGCGGAACTGATTCTTCACCTTCGACAACAACGTTGATCGGCGGCTGCTGCAATGCTAATAATGTGTCGGCCATAGAAGAACGAAACGATGATACAGTGGGAAATTCGAATCAACTGTGCAGGAAACCTCCAAAAGACCAGTCGGCTTTGCGCTACTGCGGTAGCTCTACCCGGGCAGTTAAATCGGTCAGTATAACAGAAAATCCCCCTCTCTTTTTTTCCCCTTTGTTAACGGTTGCTGTGGAATATGGATCAAACTTAATCATTGTTTAAGATCAATGGGCATAGAAAGGTTCAGCCTAACGTATTGCACCCATGTAAATGAACTCTAACGGAAAGTCTTTTCCTAGTTCTTGTTGTTATGAAGCAAATAGTCATTGCAGTGAATGGATGATTAAAAAAACTTGTGTGTTCCTTGGAAACTATTACTATGATGTTCCGCTGTTGTAATTTTAGGGGTATCGACGGTGGTCAGTGGCCAATATCTCTCTGTTTTGATTTGTGAGCTTCGTACTAGAGTGATTAATGTTTGTCAAGTGCATGGATGGAGAGGTGCCTCTTTAGTTGCGCAAAAAGATGACCTTTTTACTCACTGTTTTGTAGTTAACTTCAAAGTAATTATTTGTACCCTACATGTTTTTCTTTGCAGGAATTAGATTTTGGGATTATTGGGTCCAAATTACACCAAATAGAAAAATCAGTATTTTCTCCTATATTTCGATCTGGAAGTTGTTCTGAGAGGGGCCCAAAGCAGTACATGGAGGATGAGTGCATGTGTGTTGATAATCTACATGAAAATGTACTCCATCCAATAACTAACGTCCCGTGTCCGGGGGCATTTTACGGGGTATGTAACTTCATGTTAAATTGGATCAACTCAACCTTATATTTACTGAATTAAAGACATAATTATGTCAACTAATGATAATTATTACAAGGCCAAGTATAATGAGATTGTTTGATCACTATACAATACTATGGGAGACCAATACTTGAATTCTATTTTGTAGAAACTACTTCATGGACTAAATGCATTAGTCAATTTTGACCATGAGATAGTCAGTTGCACCATGTAGATGCTCTCAGAGGTTATCTACCGGTAAGATATATATAGGTATTCGATGGACATGGTGGTGTTGATGCAGCATCATTTATAAGAGTTCATCATGGAAGATTTTTAATTTCCCAACTGCCATAAAAAAGGCTGTAAAAAGTGCTTTTTCAAAGGCTGATCATGCATTTGCTGATGCTAGTGCCCTTGACAAATCATCCGGTACCACTTTTTACAGCCTTCATGCTGGGGAGGTAAGGACTATATTATTAATAATCTTGGCCTACCTATCACTGCAACTTGCATGGGGTTCTTACGTTCATCAACGATACTAGTAAATGAGCTTCAATAAAGGTTTAACACACTTCCTATTTGTCACAGTCATTATTGATTTTGTGATTTTGCAGGATCTTGCTAATTGCCAATGCTGGGGATTCTCCTGCTGTATTGGGCAAACGGGGCAAAGCCATTGAGCTTTCTAAAGACCATAAACCAAACTGCACTTCTGAAAGACTAAGAATAGAGAAACTGGGTGGTGTCATCTATGATAGGTACCTCAATGACCAACTGTCGGTAGCACGTGTTCTTGGAGACTGGCACATCAAGGGTTCTAAAGGTTCTGAAAGTCCCTTGAGCTCTGAGCCTGAGCTGGAGGAAATTGTCCTGACAGAAGAAGATGAGTTCTTGATAATGGGTTGTGATGGCATATGGGATGTGATGAGCAGCCAGTGCGCTGTGACAATGGCGAGGAAGGACTTATGCAACATAATGATCCCTCAAAGTGTGCAAAAGGCCTTGTGACTGAGGCACTCCAACGCAACTCATGTGACAATCTAACCGTTGTGGTTGTATGTTTTGCCAAAGATCCTCCTCCTCAAATTCAAATTCCCAGGAATCATAAGAGGGGGGAGTATGTCAGCTGAAGGTTTAGATCTTCTGAAGGGCGTTTTAAGTTGTTAGTGACTTTATAGTTTGTACAGATTGAGTTAGGAATTTATATACATTGTTGGAAGATTCTTTTGGCTAACCACTATATACCTTCTGCCTTTGAAGATTGCTGCTTGTGATTGCTCTAAAGTCAAACAGAATGAAACTCTACTTCTGTAAAAAATTGAACTTAGTGCAGCTGGTGTCTTCAATCAGAGAATTCGTATTTGGTTATTTCAACCAGAGGCATTGATGGATTGCCTTAATCGTGTTAACATTCAATTAAACTAAAATTAACTTAATATAATATAGGCCAATCCTAAATCATTCTTTTTAAAGAACAATTTAGGGGTTATGTTCAATTTTCTAGATATTAAAATATTAATGTAAAAAGATTTAAAACTAAATGCTAGATTTCTACACTAAAATGCAAATGAGAAATGAAATTTATGCAACTAAAACTACCTAAATGGATGTTGATTTTTATGTCACCTAAATGCTATTATGCAATGCATAAGTTCTAAATTATGATCGGGGGGTTGTGACAAGAAAAATGAAATATAAATTAAAGAAATTACTTAAACGACAAAAAAGATTAGTTAATTAAAAATTAAAAAAATTTGGTTCAATTCCAGTAAAGGGAACAACTTAGGACATCATATGGAGTTAATTTTCCTAACCCAATTCAATTAGTTAGATCAAAGGAAAATGATAGGAGAGTGGAATTAATAAATTCAATTACCTAATTAAAACAAAGGGAACTCATAAGCACAAAGTCTAATACTTAATCTATTAGAAAACTCATAGTGAATCAAATGTTATGACTATGAGTTCAGCAAATTAAATCTATTAAAACCAATGAAAATCCAAAATAATTCTAGAAAATATGTTTAAATTATCTAATTGAATAATTAAATAAATTATCAACTTAATTGAACAATCAAAAGGTAAAAGGAACAATCCAAATTTTCAATAAACACCACAATGGCAATTAAATCAATAATGAGAACTCAATCA